TTGATTTAACTAGACAAAGGTCCATCCGAGAAAAAAACAAAAAAATTAAAATAATCTTTTTTTCTCATGTTATACCTTAGGATTGCGTGCTAATTACTATTCGGCGATCGTAATTTATTTACCTTCACTCACCCTCACATAGCGTTATAACGCATACCTAACTATAATACCAAGTGAATAAAAAGTATGGAACCAAACGTTTTTTGCTTAAACTATTTATTTTTTGAAAAAACTAATTGTTGAGTGATAAAGTACTATAAAAGTGTGATGATTTAACAAGAATAAAATTTTTCGAAATTTCGTTTTGTTTTTGAGTTCTACAAAAAAATATATTTTTTTAAATGGCAACCCACTATAAAATCATTTTTTTTATAAAAGGTATACTCCAAGGATTACAACTATCTGCTTTATATTTGTTGAAGGTATATTGAAAGAATACGCTTGGGCTATTAATTAAAAGAATATTTAATGAAGTGTAAAGTACAAAAGTAGAGGGCTCCCTGTACGAGCTTCTATCACCAGCCTAGCTGTGTACAGACTAACAAAAAAAAACTAATTCGCAATAATTGAGACTGGGAACCGGAAATCGACCCAGCCGGGGGTTTCGCAGAAACGATAAACAAAATCGGCGACGTTCCTGGAAACTATAGAGTTAGTTTTTATTACTTCAACAATATTTAATTTTTTCAAAAAAAAATTTTCAAATAAATTGCAAATTTGACAAAAAAAATCGCATAACTCAAAAACAAAACAAAATTTCGTTCTGAAAATACGATCACATTTTTTATATTACTTTAATTTATATTAATTATTATTTTCTGGAGGCAAATGATTAAAAATAAAACTGCTTGGTTCCATACTTTATATTCACCCTGTGTGTATAATTAAGTAAAGCTTTCAATTTGATAATAATTGTTCACTGTTACTACAATTTAATAATTGTTATTTTAATATTTTTTAGTGAAGCTCAAGGTCCGCTAGATTAAAGAATTTAGGAGGTTTTTTCATACATTGATTTCATATCAAACAATTCGTCAATATCACTACAGGCCTAAACCCAGGCCCGTAGCTAAAAACAATTTTTAGGTAGGGCGCCCAAAATTTTTAGTGGGGCTAGAACAGATCTGCATTTTTGTACAATACACGTTTATTTTTTCACTATAAGTAATACTAAAACAAAAGAAGCATATTTAATCAAATTAAAAAAAATAATGATGTGATTCTAAAAACATGATAGTAATATGCCTATGAATTTCTACCTACACTTCAGAAACCTCAGAAAGAACAGTGTCTTGTGCATCGTTTTTGAGGAACGAGTTGTAAAAGTAACAATTTTGAAACTAAAGCTGAAGAAGAATTTATAAAATGCATCAACTTTGAGCTCATTTCAATAAATTTCACTAAATTTATTGGCGATCTTCATAAACCTTGCTTGTATCTTTTGCTAAATAACTTTTTCTGTATATACATCCTTTTTCTTCAAAGTTTTTGTAGCAAGATCCTCATTTTTGTCCACAACATTGTACTTATAGCTTGTTCCAAATCTGGTGGCGAACTGACGTTTTTAAAAATTTCAAAAATGTAAACGTATGTTTACTACTAAAAAAATATTGTTCCTAAGCGTCGTATGAAATAATATTTCAAAACCACTGTTATTCTTTAAAAAATTATAATAAGTAGGTACCCGTACATAAGATGAAGAATGATGAACAAATTATTAAATTGTTAATGCATGAAAAGAATTTTCAAAAATGATATTCCTAACAATCCTTGTCTTCAAAATTTTTAGAGAAAAAAGTACGCCCATGTAAGTGGGCACACTCCAAGTGTCTTTGCTGTCACTGTCAGTTCGCCACCAGATATGGAATAAACTCTACTTGCGGTGTGTTTCTGTCAAAATTATTAGCACTGAATTCTATCTTTAGACCTTAGGTAATGATGTCTGTCCTCAGGTATTCAATTATAGCGTTTTCAAAGAGCAAACGGGCACACAAGATTTATAAAAGTCAAAATTTTGACAACATCTCAATTTGAACTCATGACCATAATTTTTTAACAAAATTTCTAGGGACAAAAACAAAGAGCAAACAAAATTTGTGACTATGGAAACAAGCTGCTACCAATTTTTTCACCAAAATTTTGACTTGGTAATTTCCATTAAAAAAAAAAAACTTTATGTATCCGTATTGGCCGTATCATCAAGTGTAAAATCGATGAGGAACGATCGATGTTACTTGATCGTCCACGATCGACGTTTTGTGTATCTCCTGCCTTAAAGTAGGGCTCAGAATATTCAAAGTAGGGTTATAAGCCCTACTTGCTCACTCTGTATAACATATGTTAATCTAAAAACATTTGTCTCTATAATCCATTTCATTTAAATTGGCATAACAGTAGGCCATGATTGTGTAAACTGCGCTTTAAATGTGAA